GCGAATATGTCGAGGGTTGTTTTTATTATTATTATTAAAATGCACTGCGAAATGTGTGACTCGAGGTGACGAGAGGTCAGGACAAGTGTGGTGGGTGGAGGGCGCTTTCATCCAGCAGTGGACTGATTAAAACACATTCCTGCGGAGGGAGCTGGTAGGAACGTTGGGTTGCTCGGTCAATGGCCAGGGTCAACGGCGGCGTGGTGTATTCCGCAAATATGTCCGACTGTGAGGGCGGGCACAAGCCGGCGTGAGTAGGTTAAACGTTGAGTTTTATAAGGGCACCACGGGGTGACCAGCCCCTCCCCACCCAGCCCCACCCCAACCAGCCCCACCCTCCCCACCCAGCCCCTCCCCACCTTCCCCTCCCCACCCAGCCCCTCCCTGCACGACGGACGGACGGACACAATAATCCCCTGTGGGCTGGTGGAACCAGTGGGTTCCTACCAGTATTAAATTATGTCTGATGATAATGACGATGACCAGCATTCAGTAACACACATTGTAAGAATTCCCAATGAGTAGCGTTACGCTCACTTGACTCCCCACATGTAAGGATTGTTTTTATTCACACGGCAGTTGCAGGTATTGCACCTTCCTTCGGTTTCAGAGCTGGGTTCAATACTCCTGCTCCAAAATAAAAACACAACAGCGTAACGCCTCCCAAAATAAATCAACTCGTATCGCTTTCGTGCAAAGAAATCGTGTCGGGGAGTTGTGCGCGCAACATCTTGCAATGTTCATAAGCTCACGGCGGCAAGATGGGCGAAAACTACCAACGTTGTCTCTCGTATCATCATCGTGTCCACCACCACCATCATCGCCACTACACAGTCTTCGATCTCGTTTTCGAGTCGGTGTCACGCCTCGCTTGCGCAACTTGGACGGAGCGGTTTCCATTGTGAACACGGAGACGATGTCGCAGAAAGCAAACTGCGGTGGTTGGTTGGAGCTGTCGCAGTTTGCACGCTGATCTTATTTTACTGGTAGGAACCTCCTGGTTACACCAGCCCACAGGGGATAGCGCCTTATCCAAGGTGCTTTGCACAGAAATAACAATGGTACATGTGAATGTAATGCTGGAGATGAGGTGAATGAAATATCAGATGACAGGAAGCAATGGGCAAATCTGTGATGCGTGAAATCAGTGAGGATGAATGGATTGAATGAATGGAGAATGAGTGAGAGCGACATGAGAATGTGAAGAGGGAAAGTAACGCTGATGGCTGTCCGCTGGTAATTGAACATTCAACGTCCTGAATATTGTCCATATGTAAATCAAACAAATGCTATGTTTCCTTTAGAGACTGGACACCCGTTGGTATATGTTAAAACAAATTAGCGAGCACATATTCAAGACATAGCCGAGAGGGCCATTTCATTGGAAGACACGTGACCATCCAATGGATATACTCGCCCCGTCATGGGAACGTGGAATGCCCACACTCAACGGAGGTGTCGAACGAGTAATAGTGTCCTGTCGCTTGTATCACCAGGCCATACATTTACATGTATTACGTTTACGTTGTTCAATAAATGAATTTGTTCATTTATAAATTAGAAAGTGTTTTACACGTGAATTAGTTCTACTTACAACTCGAAACCGTGTTTCTGATGATGCACATGGCCGGGAATCAAACCCACGTAATAATAATGAATAATTTACCGCTCTAAAGGGAAATGCACTTCTGGATGAAGATGCCCCCAACCCCCACGCTGCGTAAGTCGCGGGGGTTGTTTGACCATACTTCACCACGCTGGTCAATGCCCAGGTTAGTGAACGGGGGTAATATGGGGTTCAGTTTCAGTTCAGCTACGACTTGCCATTGATGAATCCACAGACACAAAGAAGCCCAAATAACCACTTAGGATAGAAATAAAGCTATGCTTTATATTACGTAAAAAAGACCTTTAACATTCCGAAACACGGCTGTGAAAGTGGGAAAGATGCAAGGAGGGGATAGTGTAGTCAACAAACATCATAAAAACACCGAGGCTTTCGCAAGCAATAGCATCGATGATAAAGGTATGTTTTTGGGTTAGATACGTAAATATGAATGTGTCGCTAGCCCACCACCACCCGACGCAGCCAATTAATTAGAGGAATTCATTTAGAGTATAATTGTGAATCTGATGAGCTATTAAGCTCTTTTTCACAGATGTCCAGTCGGGGCGGGTCACAAAATTACAACAAACAAAACAAAAACACGATAGGAGTGCACAGTTTTGGAAAAAGGTAGGCAAATCACAAATATATTTTTTTACAATTTTTCCTTTAGCAGGCAAAGCCCACTGCGCTATTAGCTTATTTTTCAGAAGCGACCTGGCCACAAACGATAGCTCAACGAATATGGCGTATCACGTGGACATTCCCAGCAGCAGCCAAATCGTGCAGAGGATGTTCCTTGCTCACAACACGTGTGCAATTCAGAAACCCGGTGCAGCAGAGATTTGCTTTTCTTCAACCAATGCTGCTAATATGATGCACTCCCATGAGACCCTTACGTGTGGCTGATGGGATGTGTCAAAAATATATATTTTTTGTCACGTCGAGGGAGAAGACATATATACGGTACAGGAGGAAAATCGCATATCGTCTGCTTATGTAACGACTGGACATCCGTGCACAGGGGCTTTATAGCTCGTCGGATTCCTTCTGCAGTAGAAACATTCTGAGTCTGTTGTAGTAGACTTTTACCCTCTAAAACTGATACAAAACTGACACCTTTATACAAGGCATTATGTTTGCAATAACCGCAACACAAGCAGTCAAAATGCAAACAAAAAGTAACAACTCTGATAAACAACTCTGATAATGGTAATGATATTTGCATATCATTACCATTATCAGAGTTGTTTCTTTTTGTTTGCATTTTGACTGCTTGTGTTGCGGTTATTGCAAACAAGCAAATATCATTACCATCATCAGAGTTGTTTCTTTTTGTTTGCATTTTGACTGCTTGTGTTGCGGTTATTGCAAACACGATGCCTTGTATAAAGGAGTCAGTTTTGTACCAGTTTAAAGGGTAAAAACCTACTACTATATTTTGCCACTGCTAAAGGACATGTCTCATAGTGTAAATTCTGATTCTGATTTCATTGCTACCCAGGGCCTCTGTGGCTGGGAGCGCGCGGTGGCGGTTGGTGTGGTGGTTGTAGGGGTGGGGGGCGGGGCGGTGGTGGGGGGGGCGGTGGTGGGGGGGAGGAGGAGGATGAGGGGGGGGCAGAGTTTATTTTCCGTGGCGCGCGACCCCCCCCCCCCGGCGCGCCTTATTAGGAAGTTCCGGGAGGAGGGGTGGTGCGGGGGGCGGGGGGCGGGGTCCGCCGAGCGGGCTCCCGCGCTTTTTTTTGATCTCGTGCCAAACCGGAAGCACCGATGCCCATATATGGTGGGGAAGCGGCTGTGACGTCACGAGCGTCGCTTCCGAGCGCGCGCTCCTAATATGGGCATGGCGCTTCCGACAGGGTTCCCTCCGCTGCAGCAGCCGAGGCGCGTTGCCAATTTGAAATAATACAACTGTGGACGATTCGACGATTTTACGATTATTTTAATTTAAAAAAAATATATGTTTTACCGGGTAAAGACCCGCTTTGAGCTGCATACTTTTTTTCTCAGAAGCGACCTGCCGATCACATTTGGATATCTCTAACGAAGTGGCTTATCGTCTTCTTGGTTCTTTCGGTAAAGTCACGTAGAAGGGAAATAATAAAATAATAAAATAAAACATCATTAAATTATTATTATTTCCCTTCTACGTGACTTTACCGAAAGAACCAAGAAGACGAATCCCCGCAGTCACGAAAGCTTTAAATCGAAATTTGGATTATCGTCATCATGGTCGTGGTGACATTTATAACAGGAGCCAAATAATCTCTCCAAACCGCGTGGATCTCTGATTCCTGGGGAAACTGGAGACAAATCGAGGAGGAAGAGAGACACGCAAACTCCCAAGTAAACCCACGATCTCCCGTGTACCAGGCGAGGTAGTTAACATCTCAAAGCCATCGTGGCAATTGTATTTAATTCGCGTCCTTGGCGTTAGAGCGATTCCAACAAGATTTTCCCGATACCAACTTTACCCAAAAGGCTACCAATGAATGAACTTATTGTTTAATTTTCATTAAGTTGTTGCTTGTATTATTGTTATTATAATTATGAAGGCGGGTTCGTATATTCTGGTGTAGAGTAGCCGGTCCCAATGTGATTTTTTTTTGCTCGATATAACGTGGCCCGCTGCGTTTTAAAGGCACACGCGCGCGAGTGCTGTACACATTACACACACAACAATAACAACACACACAACAATAACAACAAACACAACACACACAACAATAACAACACACTCGCACGCTGTACACACCACCACCACAACAACACACGCACGCTGTACACACTCACACACAACACGCGCACGCTGCACAAACACCACAACAACAACACGCTGTACACAACAACAACACGCGCACGCTGTACACAACAACAACACGCGCACGCTGTACACACACACTACCACAACAACACACGCACGCTGTAGGCACAACAACAACACGCTGTACACACAACACGCGCACGCTGTACACACACACACCACCACAACACGTGCACGCTGTACACAACAACACGCGCACGCTGTACACAACAACAACACGCGCACGCTGTACACACACACACACCACCACAACAACACACGCTGTACACACACACACCACACACAACACGCACGCTGTACACACACACACAACACGCGCACACGGGGAAAGCCACGAGCACAAGAGCGAGCGACATCAACGAAGCCGGCGCAGAGCGAGAGAGAGCGAGAGGGGGGGCCGCGCGAGGTCTCTCCGCCCCCCCCCCCCCACCGCGTGACGTCACGGCACGAGCCCCGCGGTCCTCCCGAATGCCCAAATAAGGGCAGTGACGTCACGAAACTCGCCCACTTTGTAGTTAAAAGGGAACACCCGGTGCTGGGAGCCCCTCATTCATTCACTCTCCGCCTCTCTTCCTCTTCCTCCTGCTCCTGCAGCCAACCAGCCAGCCAGCAAGCCGAGCAGGCAGCAGGCGGCGGTGGCGGTGGCAGCAGCTGAGCTACGACTGCCGGCAACTCCGTTGACTTAACGCACCTTTGCAAAGATATCTGCCACTCGCACAGCGGACCCCGTCGTTGTTGTTGGGTTATTTTTTTTTGCTGTTGTTGTTCTGGCTGCAAAAGCAATTCCAGCCGTAATCATCAAGCATCGGCATCCTCAAGCCCAGAGCTGAGCTCTTATTCATTTGCCAGCGGTGCCAACTCTCACACTGCCTGTGTGAAGGCACCCCGAGCAACCGATATTAAAGCCTCCCCCCCACCCAGCTTGGACTGAACTACCGCTTAATCTTCTGCTTCTCTGGGAGGTTTTTTTTTTTGTTTTGGTATCCAGCGAATGCCCTGGCTGCTGTGTTCAAAGAAAGAGCTCAAAAGCAACGCAGGTATCAAGCGCATCAAACCGAGAGACAGCAACAAACTACAACATCATCATCAGCAGCAGCAGCAACAGCAGCAGCAACAGCAACAGTAGTAGAAACAGCAAAGACACCAAAAAAAATCTCAAACAACAACAACAACAAAAATCAACAATCAGCCCCTCGCTCCGGGGTTAAGTTGTCGATCTTTACAGCCGCTGCTGCTGGTGGTTGCGCGCGTCATGACGGAGATAATGCCCCTGCTTAGTTCATTTCTCCATCCTCTGCCCGATGCAGCAGCGTGCGTTAACCTGGATGAATTTGGCACATCCGGAGCTGTCAACACTCCCGGCTCGGCAGCGGACGGACAGCTCTTTCCTGCCGGAACCCTCGAGCAATACACCGGTCCTCAACTGCGGCATGAACCGAGGTGAGCCCCTCTTTCCCGAGTGTCCGTGCGTGTTTGTGTGTCTGTGTGTACTGTGTGTGTTGCGCTCATTCGAGACTTAAATGCTGCGTGAACTCCAAGCTACTGCGGGAGTCAAAGGCCCCCCCACCCCCCCTCGGGACGTGCCAACACCACCAGCCTCGTGCGCCGTTGCTGGCCTCAATGGGTGCTCGCTAACATCACTTGCCCCAACACGCTTGTGTTGTTGTAGGCTACACGTGGGGGGGGGGGGGGGGGGGGTCTTTGACTCTGCAGTCAGTCAGCGGACAGCCAGCGCTGCCGCTGCTACCGTTGATATTCGTGGCTTTGCGCTACGATCTTCCGACGGCATGGGTTAGATTCCACACCGTGGCTATGACATGCGGTGTAGGCAAGTGGTGCCTGAACCTGTCCTAGGGTCTCACTGTAGGGTGCACGGCTTAGCCTTAATGAGTGTCTGGTGAGGTGTGTGTGTGTGTGAACATCATCCCTGGAGAGATGAACGCGGCGAGGAGTAATGCTGATCAGTCACACCACCCACACTCCCTCGTGCGCTCTTTCGCCTTTAACCGTGGCTCGTTAACAGCGCCTTGCCCATACGATCTGTGCGAGGGGGGGGGGGGGGTGACTGTGTTTGGCTCCTGAGCCGTGGCGTCGTGATGTACACACACACTAAAACCGCAGCGAAACCTCTGTTTGACTCCCGGCTGTAGCTCGCATTGACACCGGGCGAAATCAGTATCTGAAGCTATAGGGCTGAGCCGTGTCTGTGTCCACTCTGTGTGTATAATCTTCGTGCACAGCCCGGTGCAGCTGAATTAAGCGTCGGCGGACAGATCTGCGTGGCTATCTGCCGACCTAAATAGGTGCTCGCTAACAGCGCTTGCCTGTCGACAGTCTGTATATGATCGAATGAGGTGCACGTGTGTGCACGTGTGCGAGCGGACGTTGGCGTCGCAATGATACATGGACTGTGCCACGGTCTGCAGCCCGTATCTCGCACAGCCGTGCATAGAGTGTCCGTGCACTTAATGACCCAAGGTCTTTTTTTTCCCAAATCAATAGGGAGTGCGCATATAGATATTGGCCTTTGCAACTCCGCATATACATATTCGATCAGCTCTATCAATATTACTCCGCTGCGCCCGTGTCTGTTGTGTGTGTGCGCATTGACACAAGCAAGCACACACGTGAGCACGTATACAAGGAGACACATCGTGTGCTGTATTGGCTGAGGTCTCGATATGTTTGTTGCTGGTGGGGTGTGTTTTGTACAGCGTGCATTTCGCTGACTGCATGCATATGCCATTGCAATTCTGCAAACGCACGTAGATGTACACACAGCCACAGAGGTATCCTAGAGAACAGCCCCTTATACATTCTAAATTACACGCTGTTATGCTGCACGTATTGATCGCGCAGTCTATATATATACTGTACCAGCTCTTGCCCCGTGTATGCGTAAACGATAAGCGAAATCTCCAAGATCATTTGGGCCGAACATTTAAAGGAAGACTGTTGCAGCAGCAGGAGCGGAGCCGGAGCCCAGCTGGCTGCGCGCAAAATCTGCATGAAAGCAGAACCGCCCCCAAAGCATGACACCTCGATGACGACCGCAATTAAGGCGAATGTTTAGACGTGGCGTTACACACCACAACAATAGCAGTGCACGCGTGCGTGCGTGCGCGCGCTGACGGACGGGCGGACGGGCGGGCACGCACGCGTGGTCCGTAGCTCGCCGGCTGATGCTGCAGCTGCAGCTGCCGTGCGTCTCCAATGAGCGCCGAGCGAGCCGCGCGCGTTGCGTTCGGGCTGCTCCACGCAACGTGTGCACGGTGCTTTCTCTACGTGTGTATGCCTCGTGCTGCACCGATTACTCACACACACACACATTGATTGGTTGTTTGGCTTATATAGACACGCGCGCAGAGGCACTACTGACACAGCGTGCGCTCCTCTGCTCCTCCCAGACGCTTTCATGAGCGTGTCCATCGGCACGGAGAAGGGCTCGGCCGAGCTGTCCTACCAGAGCATGTTCGGCGGCGCTGTTGACTCCGTGTCGGGCTCCCAGAAGCCCACCTACATGGGAACCTTCTTCATCGAGCCCGGGACCAGCTGGTGGCCTACCGATGCGCCGTCCGCCACCGTCTCCTCGGCGGCCGCCAACGGCAGCGTCTCCTCTACCAACTCCTCGGGCTCCATCAACATCGTGAGCGCCGAGGTGGTGGGCGACGACATGTCTCCCGGCTCGGTGCACTCGTCACACACGCCGGCACCCAACACGGGGCTGCTGACGCCCAACAGCTGTCCCGGGCTGTCCGTGGCCCCCATGGCCTGCGGTGACCCCCCGCCCGCCTACCCATCGGCCTGCGGGGACCCCTTCCCGTGCGTTGAGCCTCAGTCTCCGTATTACACCGGCTCGGGCCACGCGGGCGTCTTCGCACCGCCTCCTCCACCACCACCACCTCCTTACCCCTCCGGATCTTCCTCCTCGTCTGGTGCAAAGGTTGAGGACGCGCCAGTATTTCCCATCCATTCAGACTACTTGTACCAACCGCAACTTCATCACCACCACCATCACCACCACCACCAGCAACAGCACCAGCAGCAGCAGCACCAGCAGCAACAGCAGCAGCAGCAACATCAACACCACCACCAACAGCTCTACCAGCAACAACATCATCAGCAGCAGCAGCAGCAGGCGATGCAAGCGTCGAGCATGCACGAGCATCATCGCTCGCACCTGCCCTGCTCAGCCTCAGCAGCAGGTGTGGGGGTTGACACGAAGCCGCCCGCCCTGGCCATCACGCCGCTGTCCACCATCAAGGCGTTCTCCACGTCGGTGGCCGAGAGCAAGAAGCTGCTCACGGCGCTGTCGCAGCAGCAGCTGCTGCGGCCCGTGCGCCTCCGCAAGTACCCGAACCGGCCGTGCAAGACGCCGCCGCACGCGCGGCCCTTCCCGTGCCCGGCCGAGGGTTGCGACCGGCGCTTCTCGCGCACGGACGAGCTCACGCGCCACATCCGCATTCACACGGGGCACAAGCCGTTCACGTGCCGCATCTGCATGCGCAGCTTCAGCCGCAGCGACCACCTCACGACCCACGTGCGCACCCACACGGGCGAGAAACCCTTCGCCTGCGACTTCTGCGGCCGCCGCTTCGCGCGCTCCGATGAGCGCAAGAGGCACGGACGCATTCATCTCAAGGGTCGCGACGCGGCCGCCAACTCCAAGGGATCCACTGCTGCTGCTGCCGCCGCCGCTGCGGCGACGAGGGGTGACGTCAAGGTGGCCGTCGGAGATGCCCCTGGCGTGGGGATGATCATGGGAGGTGGAGTTGGACTGGGAGGAGGGGACATGTCGAGAGATTTGTGCAACAATCGTACCAGCGGCGGCGGCGGCAGCAACAACATCGCGCCGGGCCACCTCCAGATAGTCACCAGCAATGACTCTTACGGCGTGCTGTCGTAGGGCAGTGTGGGGAGGGGGACGGTGTGACGAGACATCGTCTTTGTTTGACATATGCATGCACACATAAACACACACACACACGGGAGTTTGTGTGTGCGCGTGTGTCTAGATGCGCTTAAGCCAAGCCACAGAGCCCGGAGTGTGCAAAGTGACACCCGTGGTTGCATTGGCTGGCGCATGCCAGAGGTGGCTGCAAGGAGGAGCAGGTTCGTGAGAATCGAGAGGCGGGGGTGGGTGGAGGGGAAGTCCCCCCCCCCCCCCCAAACAAACACCAACAACTCTCGCACCGTGGCGCACGCGCCGCCCACGTGCGCAGGACTCGGCACGAGTGAGTGAGACACGAGACCCGCTTTCGGACTCGATCTGTCCGGGGGCCTCTTCTCTCGCTCAAGTTGGAACTCGAGTGTCGAGGCGTGAGTCTGCGTTTGATGGACATCTTCTGCCGTGCCGCCGCCGCCGCCGCTCGCCACGTGTCTCGTTACCACCTTTTACATCGTGATTTGCTACAGGTGTTCTTCTACACGTGCTCGCGAATTGAATGACCGATTGATTGGAGAGGCGTGGCGGCGGTGGTGGTGTATCAGATGATGTTTTGGTATGCGTTCAATCACGGCACACCAGTGATTGAACAAGGAGGATCTGTCTCAGCAGCAGCAGCAACAGCGGCGTCTCCGTCCCTCAAGACGATTTTAAAGCAGCCTCGCGTCGCGTTAAACATTACTATGGCCATTACAACAAACGGATCTGACAAATGCACTGTATAAACACGTGGCGTAATGTACATTTATAAGAGCAACACGCTTGACCTTTTAAGTCAAAACAGAAATAGATGTATATCAAACTGCCATATTTCCCTCCCTCTCACTTTTTGGAGGGTCGTTCTTGTGATATTGAATAATTGGCAGCTTATGGATACTGTTATGTGTACATAGTTAAGTGTTTATAGGGTTTCGTAAGACGTGTTTGTACGCAGTTTTAACAAGCGCTACATTTTTTGTCTCAGAGCCGCTTCTCTTTTTGTAAGTAAATGAGCACTTACCGCGTGTGTGCGTGCGAGAGTAGAGTTTATATATTTTGTTTAATTCTGACACGCGATTTTCCTCTCTCCACGAGAGTCCACGTTATCGGCATGTCAAGGATTTGCGAGAAGGGTACGATTAAAGTTTGTACTGTTTTAGAACTATGGCTATATCTGTAGCCTAAAAATATATATTGTTATTATTGTTAATATTTACGAGAGAAATAAAACCCCGTTTTAAAGGCCAAGCTGGGCTTGCCCGAGGTACGTTCAAGAGTCGCTGTAATGTACAGATTGAACACAGTTCTAAACCGCCTTAAATTAACTGCTAGAGTATAATGCGTGTATATAGTTTGGTCAGTATAAGCTGCAAATTGTTTGCGCTATGACACCAAGATATATTTTTGTATCTGTGTAACTGCTGTATACTTGATGTAATAGCATGTTTAGTTTTAAATGCAGACTACACACATTTGTAGCTGTCGGCCAGTGTTCTAAAAAAATTGTTGGATTTCTATATTAATTCACTTAATTAGACAATCACTTTGTGTTTTCAAAAGGAACTAAAGTTTTTTTTGTTGCTTTCCTATACATGCTTTATAGCTGCACATTGATGTGTAAAAGGTGTCGAAATAAAGTCCAGATGAGAAATTATTTCGCAAGTCTGGAACTCATCACACGCGTCCAAAAGATACAAAGATCCCCCATATAGCCTTCAACACTGTTGGGAGCAAGTGCTGTTAGCGAGCACCTATGAAGGCTGGCACGGCACACGAGGGGTGAGTGGTCAGCACCACGCCCGGGCCACCTTTCTCTCCCGAGTGGTGATGCTTGCACAATGCACCAGGTACTCATTTGAGGTTGAGTCGACCTAGGGGAGGCCCAGGACCGGTTCAGAGCAGCGTCACTAGTATTGGCCATGAGCGGGAATCGAACTCGGATCACCGGGTTCTTAGCGCAGTGAGCTAACCGCTACCCCACCGCTCCCAATACCAATACTCGCTATTCGCCACGAAGTGACGGTGACGTCACCACGGCACTTGTGCCAGGCTAGGTACACTTTGAGGTCACGTGAAGTGTCGAAGGCTTGCTGACAGGAGGTATCGGGACAGACCCTGGTGCCATGGGTTGGCTGACTGAGCTGACTGGTGGATGCACCAGCTGTACCCCGAATGTGCCACCGCTCCCACACACAGAGACACACACTCAGACATTTCTTTGCCATCGAGAACTCTCGCCTCAGCCAGTTTCAAATGCAGTGTGTTCCCATGCTCATCTCTTTCGGAGGTCCTGAGCCATGATGGAAATTCCACATTCCCATCGCGGAAGCCAATCTCTCCCTCATAGAATAACTATTTTAACGACACGGAAGTACGGTTGTCACCTGCTCCTAATTTCCCCAGGATGTCCTCTTTTAAAGGTCGCTGTCCTGGGAAATATATGTGTTCCCAGGACGCTGAAAGCCCCGGGTTTTTTTTTATCAGTTGCGTAATAATTCACCGCCCAAGACAACTCATGTACGTGTATTTTCTCCTTTCTCCGAGTGTGAGATATTCATCTACTTCCCGTGAGATTTCCCGGCTCGATGTACCTCAAGAGGTGGCAACTCTGCCAAGAAGGGATAACTGTTATTATCAAGCACCTGATAGGTTGTTTTGGCAACGGCAATAGGCCCGACCGCCTTTGTCTCCCTTGTGGCGATATTTATCACGCCGCACCATCAACACGTAACCTAGGGGAAAGCCCGTGTCAAACTCGAATATCAAACGCTGGGCAACCCATGGATTTAGCACACACATGAATAGTAACCCAGCTCCTTCAAGTCAAACAGAAGGCAATTAATTCAAGAGGAAACGAACGGCATTATCTCGTGCTCTATCCCATTCGCACCCCGCAGACGTGGAATCTAAGACGTGTGTCACGCGCCGCCTGCGTCTTACCATCAGCGAGATCATTTTAATGGCAGCGAAATGATTTCAAGACCAACAGCGCCCCTATACAGAAGCGAAGCGGCTGCCGGGTCCGCCGATGCAAATCGTGCGGCTTCACCACTCGGGCACGTGCGTAGTGACAGCGCCGCCGCGCCGGGTGATGGCAATTGGTGTGAGACGAATGCAAACACCATCAACCCAAACAAGCACCGAAGACAAAGATTCCTCCACCGCCCCCCCCCCCCCCGTGAAGCCTTAACAGACGCGGTAGGAGCGAGTACTGTTAGCGAGCTGCCTACAAAGGCCCGCGCGGCACACGGTTAGCACGGTTGGATACGTACGGTGCGAAAAAAGTTCAACACACATGCATGAGTGGGTGGGTGGGTGGCCAGGCAGCACCACGCCCGAGCGCCTTTGTTTCCCCAGTAGCGATGCTTACACACCGCACCAGGTACTCATTTTAGGCTGAGTCGACCTAGGGGAGTCGCAAGACCTCGTCAGATAATTGTCACTGGCATTGGCCGTCAGCGGGAATCAAACTCAGGTCGCCGGGTTCGTAGCGCAGCGCTCTAACACCACCATCACCACAACCACCAACAGAACCACCAACATCACCATCACCAACAACCAGGGGCGTGGTAGCTGTCGAGTGTGCAGGCAGTGCAACTGCAACGCGGCCCGCGGACCCGAGGGGTGGAGGCACCGCGGATGTGTCGAGAGGAAGGGGTCACAGGGACACGGGAACCCACGCCAACCACACCACGCTAATGCCACAGACTGTTGGGGCAAGTACTGTTTGCGAGCATCTATTAAGGCTGGAGCGGTTACGTGTGAGGAGGGTGAGTTTTCAGCACCAGTGGCTATGGTTACACACCGCAACGATGTGGGCCGAATATTCATCTATTCGTCACCGATGTTGGCCGTGAGCGGGAATCGAACTGGGGTCGCGCAATACGCAAACCGCTGCACGTCACCAGCACCACCACCGCCACCAGCACTTCGGATTGTATGTTCTGTATACCAGATTCCCAGGGTCATGTGCAATAAACAAGCAACCACGAATAACGTGCGGTGTTTGTAAAATTATGTTTTTTTTTAAAGCGGATTAAGTCATCAAAGAGGCACCACCAATGTGTCTTGGCCGTTGAGTTGTTGCTGCCTAAGCGTATTGATGTCTTGAACTTTGTGTTGCGGTCATGCCTGATGCTATTACTGTTGATTCATGTTGAGGGTCGCTATGCTAATGTGTGAGACGCCGAGGACATTTCCCCAAGAGGAATCTTTGCCCGCTTTGCGTCGGCTGCAGTGTCACACTCAACCGCAGACGAACTACTTCTTGGTTCGCCGATGATCCCTGTCGGTCCTGTCCTGTGAAACCCATCAATCCTCCGGTGACGTTTGAGGACTCGGTTCCGAAAAGATTGTCGTTCGGAGTTTATCATTCCTAAGAAAACCCGATTTTTTTAAAAATAGGGGACAACAAAGCGTGGAAGAGGCATACAGAATCCGAATATTTATTTATCCTGGAGAAATCCGATGATTATTAAAAGCTATTTTTTTTACAGATATCCAGTCGGGGCGGGTCAATACTTGAATTAAACTACATTGAGACGTAGAGAGGAACACGTGGTTTTGTAGAACATACGCAAGCTAATTGGGAACCAAGGAATGGAACGCATCTGAAAGGCTGCCCACTGAGAGCTGAGGCGATGAAATAAACTTCTTGTGCAACTGGACGGTGGATTGTTTCATCGTAGGATCGTGGAAAAATGGTGACAGATTGGGGAGGGCGGTGTTAATCCAGCGGGGGATCGATCATGGCTAATTATGATCATGGTGATGATGACGATCATCATCATCGTCATCATCGGTCAGCTTGATAAAATGGTGACCACATAGTGAGATAGCAAGTCCTATGGATAGATTCGTCCCTGCCACGTTAAGGTAAAAAGCGGGGAGTGTGGGGAAAAAAAACTTGCGTGTAGAAACTCACACTTGCTGGACAGCATTTATTCTCAATGTAGCCACATTATCAAGCGCTCTGTGGATCGTTAACATCACAGGACTGTGAGAGATGGCGACATAATAGGGAGCACTTCATCCAGCAGTGGATTGCTCGTGGCTGAAGATGATTCTTAATCATCTCATCAGCAAAGCACTTGCGATTATTACACCATGTAATGTCTTGAATATCATCAATTTTCTCAAAACTTTAATTACATAATCTCTTAATTTTCAGTATTACTGAAGTAATTTAGCAAAAAACATTGCATTGATGTGGATTAAACAGTAAAATGTAATATTATACAGTCAATTGCAATGTATTTATTATAATTATTGTTATATAAGTGCAACATTTCCTTTGCAGCATATGCAACATATAAATGTGGCATTGGAATTACCCAGGGGATACGTATCAACCATTTCCATTTGTAAACAGGAAACTCATTGATAGGAAACCACATAATGAGCTCTACGCATGGCTTAAGCACCATACTTTTCACTCAAAAGCTGTAGAAAAATATGCCAACCTCTGATGCTGGAGATAAGACTGTTGGGGCAGAGCTCTTGCCTCCACAGGTAATGTTAGGTCAAGTCGTTGGAGAGTGCATACTTCCATTTGTGGCTTTCGATTAGTGTGGTGTAAATTCCATATTAACACGACAGGGCCCAGCATATCCAGAGAAGATTCACTTTTGGCCGCCGAGACATTGCTGTATGAATACCAACATGCAATGACGTTTAATTAGCCGCTACAATGTGCGATTCAGAGCAATTCAGAGCAACTTATTTCGCACAGCACGTTGGCTACGTACGGTGCGATAGAAGTTCTACATACAATGCAAAAAAAAATGCAAACCCCTGAACCAGATTGGTACTTCAGTCACGTGACATAACGATCTGCAGCGTATGAATCCTGGTTTGCGTGAAACAATGGACAACAGAATGAATTGTTTTTTTTACATTAGCGTCGCAACCACTCTTGACTTCCTACAAAGTGGTCTCTTATTTTACCGACCTAGGAGAGATGATGAGCTAAGTCGACCCCCCCTTAGTTTAACTGAGAGAGCATGGATTGTCCAGTGTTCATTTGAGATTCAGTGGTAGTCGTCGTAACGACAGCCCCACCCCCTGTAAAGGATGGTGTGAGTTGCACTGATGCCTGATATGAAGTAGCACCGGTGCTCACGGCTGCATGGATCGCGCGGTTTACTAATCTCATCGTTGTTAATCAAGACAACGAGTCTCCATTTAGCCGAACAGACGATCGGGCTCAGGCGCTCCAATTGAGCTCCTGTTAAGGCCAGCAAGGCACACGACGCAACGGTGTCTCTCCAGATATCATCACACAATATCAATAAAGAGAAAATAAATTAAATAATAGAATACGACATTTCGATTGTAACACAAGCAATCGTCATCAGGTAGAACTAAATTTGAGAGAGAGACAAAACACAGACACGGAGACACGCAGACAGACACACACGCAGAGAGAGACACACAGAGACGCAGAGAGAGAGACACACAGAGACACACGGACAGACACACAAGCGGAGAGAGACAACACAGAGACACACAGAGAGAGACGCACAACTCTCTGCTTGTGTGTCTCTCTGTGTGTCTCCGTGTCTGTGTTTTGTCTCTCTCTCAAATTTAGTTCACCCTGATGACTATTGTTTGTGTTGCAATCGAAACGTCGTATTCTATTAATTAATT